TTTATTAATTCATAAAATGACTAAAACTAATGTAACATATAGTGGGGTATCAGTAAAATCGGTGGTCAGTAATAAGAAAAGTTCAATCCTTGCCTGTGTTTCAGATGCAATCGGCGCTATATTACACTGGTGATTATATTTTCATTTTACAGTCACCTTTGCTGTATGACTGTATGCAATAATGAACAAATGCTGACGTATTTGTTTAATAATTTTTACCAGTGTAATTTTTACGACTAAAATGTGGTGAGCAAAAAATCCAACATATGGATACTAGTCCATTCACATGTTTGATTTTTTGATTGACCGTATTTCATACGAACTAGACTCATCAGTTTTAAAACGGTTGCATAAAAAGGTCTAATAAAAACATAATCACTTGTAATATTTAAGTAACTTATAAAAATCGTAATTGTTGTTATGGAGAAACCGTAAATAGAACAGTAAATATACGTAAATGACAATATGAAATTGTTTAAGAAACTGAATAAAATGAATCTGGCTGAGTTAGTAATAAAATAAATACTTACTACTGTCACCAGTATTACTTATTGTTAACTGAATGTATTTTTCATATCTAATGAAGACAAACGATTGTAAACTACTATCTTTTATAGTTTCAATTTCATTTATATTAATCGGTGATTACCGATTGCCATTTACAGAATGGGTATAATTTCCTCCATATATAGCTATCTGGAAAGTACAAAATGGGAAATGCATGTTTTTAATCTGAAATTTAAATTAAAAAAAGGATAAGTATCTCGCAGATATTAATTAAATTAAATTTATAACGTGAGTTGTATAATGCAGAATGTAATTCAATTATATTTTATGTTTTAAAACAGATGAGTCTAGTTCGCATGTAATACTTGAAATTATTCGGTCAATCATTCGGACTAGTATCGACATGTTTGATTTTTTGCTCACCACATTTTAGTCATTCTACTTACCTACTGTCTTACTCTACTCTGAAGTTTTAACGTACGCTTTTATCTCTGATTTAATCTTTCAATCTGTAGTAAAGTATTGTCATTATTTGTCAGACAGATAATCTCACTTTTATTATTTCAATAACTACTGGGTACGGCATAAATATTTGCCCATTCTTTAATAATAAAGATTTACTTATTATTTAAATATAAATTGAAACATACCGATTCATAAAAAATGATTTCAGTTTTTTGCATCAGGATTCTTCTGTTTTATTGTTTACTAAACTGTAAACTAAATTAAATATGGCAACGAAAAAGCATGAAGATAACAAGAGAGTTAGATATTTCGAATAAGTTGCTAAGGAGGATTGTGAAATAAAATTTAAGGCTAAAACCATACAAGATTCAACGACAACATTTCAAGTCCTTCCAAGTAAAACGACTTGGAGAAGGGAGAAAACGTTAGAGGATTGATGCATCAAAAGTTGCAAATGTTTTGGCTAGAAATTATGAAGAGGAAAAGAGCATATCTTACTACAAGAATAACACAAGATCTCTTACTTCACAACCAAAAAGTGATGAAGTTTGACTCACCCTTCCTATTGATCGAACCTAACCCCTACAAATTACTACTTTTTTGGAGGTTCATTGTATATAATCGGTATCGCTAAGAGAAGAGCTTGTAGGATGAACTCAAGGCCCAGGGCAGAGGCTTCCTCTGAGTGAATCAATGGCCACGTGTTAGTGACTAAGGTGAGCATTCAAGTCGGAGGAGTGCGGCTATGGTCTGATCTGGAGAGCAATGGACAACGCTAAGTCCAAGATAGCCTACACATGAATGAATGCGCCCCAAAGAGGCTGGTCAGCCTCGCAGCGACTTGACCACCTCTTTTCTTTTTATGTGCTATGTCCTTTCAGTATGTAGACGATCATGGCTTTCCACCTCCCTCTATCCCTCGCAGCTCTCAACAAGTTCCTTCCCTCTGCTTCCTCCCCCAGACCACGTTCTGTCATCCACCTGCCCAAGTCCGCCAGGTCATGTCACGTGCTGTTTTCCGTTGTGTCTCTTTCCCTTCTATTCGACCCATGAATATTAGATTCTCAAGGCCCTGCTTCCTAATTATGTGTCCAAGAAACTTCAGCTGCCACTTTCTGATATTAAGTATAAGCCTTCTCCTTGTTTGCAACTTCTCTAAGACCACATCATTGCTACATGATATCCTTAGCATCTTTCTGTAGAACCGCATCTGTCACCTCTTCATCGTTGAGGAAATCATCCAACATTCACTGCCGTAAAGGACAGATGTAACGTGGAGAACCAAGGCGTACAAGAGTGAATTTTAAATACGTACATATTACTTAGAGACACGGTCAGTAATTGAGAAATCACGTGGTTCTTAGTCGAAGAGTGATTTTTTTAGCGACTACCCTCCTCCGTTCACCCGAGACCGAGGGAGGGGGGGCAATCTGACCGTTTAAATCGAAAAAAAAATCACCAGGCGTTTCTTCTCGACCAACTTATATTCAAACTTAATAGAAAACTTAAGACGAGGTGGATTAAATTCAGTACTATTAGAAATAGGACAGTTATGGAAACTAAACTAAAACAATTGGTAATAACAAAAGAAGTAAATTAGTAATTTGGAAACAAAAAGAAAAAGAAAGAAAAAGGAAAAAATGTAGGAAAACCAAGAAGGTTTACAAGAATGAATTTTAAATACCTGACAACCTCATTTGATGATAATAATAATGATAATAATGATGATGATGACGAAAACGTGCCTTGAGGAACTATAGTTTTGCACCGTGATTGAATATACTCACTATCAGTTCATCGATTGTAATAGTACTTAATTTGACAAAGAAAGTGAAATCAATGTCGGTTTTGAAGCACACATTAAAATATTTTTTTAAATGTTTTCAAGCAAACATTTTAAAACATATTAATTCGGCTTTAAGCCAAATTAATATGGTTTAAAATGTGTTTCAAAGCAGACATTTGTTTTGTTCCAACCTGATATACAATATATTAATCCAAACTGGATCCATCATTATTTTCGAAATTTTAATAGATTTTCCTTTTTTATTAATCGTAATCATTTCATTATTCATTTCCCCCACGTAAGACTAATCACTAAGTCGCAATGGGTCACTAAGTGTGAGAGAATATTAAAAAAGTCTATTAAGGAGAGAGAAAAAAATTAAATAACAGGAATTAAGACAGAAGATAACGATTGCAATTAAAGTTTTGAAGATCAAAGTTGACTGGAAAACAAGAAGCCAGAAGCGAGTTTCACAAGCGAGAAGTGCGAGAGATATGACTGTTAGCATAGAAGTTACGGTAACATCTAGCTAGTTCAACTGTGAATTGATGAGACCTTGCCGCACTGTACTAGTACTGTGCTTAAATTCATGAAGTCTATGTACCATAGAGGTAAGTTCATAGGAACAATTACCATGAAAATATTTATAGAAAACGCATAGGGAAACCACGTTATGGAGGTGGGAAAGTGCTTGGAGCCGAGATGCCAGGTCAGGACCAATAACATTGCAGATTCTTTGTATTTTATCAATAATTTCTAAATACATAGCAGAAGCACCAGAGCAGAAGTGACAGTAATATTCAATGCATGGACGAATGGTAGATTCAGTTTAGAGATGGTGACAGAAACCATGGACGGAGTTATATGTATATCACTCAATAGAAACTCAGTTTCAAGAGTAGAATTGGGCAAGAATTTACGAACAAAACATTCTGCATTATCAGTAGATGTTAACACATTGAGTGAAGAAAGAATTTGTAGAAAATTTAACACGATATTACAGAGCCGCAAGTAGTCAGGAGAATCAAGCTTGAAGTTATACCCGTACCTCATTCTGTCAGCGAACAAAGACTTAGTCTCTTTACCATTATTAATAGCAGACACAAAAAAGTGTTACCCTGTTAATTCTGTCAGCGAACAAAGACTTAATCTCTTTACAATAGCAGAAGTTCTAGTGCAGGCATTGATGGTCGAGGTTGGTGTTGGTTGTTGCCAGGATCATCGCTGTTGGTTGTTGGAGTTGAAGCTGATGTTGGTTGTTGCCAGGATCATCGCTGTTGATTGTTGCAGTTAATGTTGGTTGTTGCCAGGATCATCGCTGTTGATTGTTGCAGTTAATGTTGGTTGTTGCCAGGATCATCGCTGTTGATTGTTGCAGTTGATGTTGGTTGTTGCCAGGATCATCGCTGTTGATTGTTGCAGTTAATGTTGGTTGTTGCCAGGATCATCGCTGTTGATTGTTGCAGTTGATGTTGGTTGTTGCCAGGATCATCGCTGTTGATTGTTGCAGTTGATGTTGGTTGTTGCCAGGATCATCGCTGTTGATTGTTGCAGTTGATGTTGGTTGTTGCCAGGATCATCGCTGTTGATTGTTGCAGTTAATGTTGGTTGTTGCCAGGATCATCGCTGTTGATTGTTGCAGTTAATGTTGGTTGTTGCCAGGATCATCGCTGTTGATTGTTGCAGTTGATGTTGGTTGTTGTAGTTGGTCGTTGCCGGGTTGCCAACTTGACGTGTTGGGAAGGAAAGAAGAGCTGGCGTTGTTCGGGTTGTCACAGGTCCAGTGCAGGCGTTGCGCGTTTGCCGGTCGAGTCCGATATTAGTAACCTCCCGTAATAATTACTAACATAGTGTACGGGAAAGGTTAAGGACGACGTGCAGGCAGCCAGTAGGGACGGAATGCCGAGAGTCGAACAGGGCCAAGGAGCCAGGAGTAGTAGGCGAAGGAGAGAGAGAGAAAGGAAAGTTTCCAACTATCGTCAAGTTGGCAGACAAAAAAAAATGGGAGCGTAACTTAATACGCAGCCCGTTGATCGACGTTCCTGGCCGCGAAGGCCAGGGGCCTGCGTATCCGACCGTTCCAGGCGCCCGACCCGGATTTAGTGAGAAGCCACTGTCTTGTGGTAAGGGAGGCCAGCAAGTGAATTGGATAAGCTAACAATAAAGTTTCTATAATAAAATACGTCGAGGTTAGCTAAAGGGAACTAAGGCCTAAAAATGTCTAGAAGTATATTACAACTAGGTTTCCCCCCCGCCACAAGCGCCCGAGCCCCCTGCGTCATCTCCCGGCGACTGGAAAATCGTGGAGGAACCGATACGGGACGGACGGAGGAAAAGGGGGAAACGAACGACGGGCGCGGCTAGGCAGGCGGAAGGAAGCGAGAAACTCCTCGCCGGAACTGCTTTCGCCGCGACACCTCTCCCAGAACCGGTGCCCTCCCACGCGCTCTCTCGCTTTCGCTGCGCCTTCGGGGTTCTTCGGGGCCCCTACGACTCGCGAACGGCCAGGACTTCTCGGTCCGTGTTTTAAGACGTGTCGGGTGGGTTGCCGATGCACGTCGCGGACCCGAGGTGACGGGCGGCACAGTCAGACGCCGACCTACCGCGCTGGCAGTGCCCTCCCACGCGCCCAGATTTTGGCGTCCGTATGCGGAGAAGACGACGCGACGAGACAACGTCACGCGCCGGCACGGGAATCGACGCGGCCGCGCCGGTTTCGAAGCTCCCGCGAACACTGTCCCGCACGCGTCCGAGACGGTGGGGCGCCGAGGGCGCCCGAAGCGCCGCGCGGATCGTCCGACGAGAAGAAACCGGTTTGCCACGTGTAACGGATCGCGTTTTCGTTTCCTCCGTCCCCAGCAGAAGGGGGCAGTACGCTCGCGGGCTCGACAGAAGACGCCTCCGCCCCCGACAAGCAGGGGTGGAGTTTAGAGTGCGCCTTCCGCCTACGGACACCGCGCGTCGACCTGCACGCCGGGAAGGGGTCGCGACGACGGACCGGAGGGGAAGTGCGTCCGGTACCGGCCGTGCGGAATGTGAGCGTCGCGCCGAAGCGCCCGCGCCATATGATGCCGAGCGAAGGAAAGGTGCGGGTGATCGCGAGGAATGGAGAGGAGGAGCCACGACGGCAGCGACGGCGGCCACGGCGGCAACAGCAGCAGCAGCGACGCTAATCGCGGCCCCGATCGAGGGAACTCCGAACTACGCGAGACGAAAACGAGCGGCTGCCTTCGACCCATGCGCCACATGTCCCGAAGCCTTTACTTGCGACGGATTCGGCGTTGGGCTTCCCGGTTCACTCGCCGTTACTAAGGGAATCCCGGTTGGTTTCTTTTCCTCCGCTTAGCGATATGCTTAAGTTCAGCGGGTCGTCTCGTCCGAGCCGAGGGCGGCGGTGTTTGAGGTAAGACTACAGCAAAACGCGACCACACACAGTGACGGCAGAATACGGCGGCAGCGGCACAGACTGGCTTCGAGACGCCCAAGGTTTGTATTTCGACCTCCGAGAGCGAAACGATGGTGCTACCACTGCTGCTGTTTGCTCGTGGCCGTAGTCAACGTCTTGCAATCTACGACTGCTCGCGGTCGTAAGGGAAGCGACCCCGCGGACTTCAAGCTCCTCCTGCGACGTCCCGGTTTCCTCCGCGTGAGAAACGGGCAATTCTTTCATGAAGAAAGAACGACGCGGTGGACGGTGAGATGCCTCTCGACTATCAAGTGAGAAGACATGCCATTTTCCGCCTCTCGACCGGACGGGGCCCCGAGACAAGGGATCTCGAGGCCGCAATGTGCGTTCGAGATGTCGATGTTCACTGAGTCCTGCAATTCGCATCAGTTCTCGCGGCTGGCCGCGCTCTTCATCGACGGACGAGCCGAGTGATCCCCCGTCCAGGGTTTTGTTTTTGTTTTTTGTATAAGTTTTTTTGTGACAGGTTAAAAAAAGTGTGCGAGGAGAAACAAGGAGGCCGAGTTGTTGCGTGAGCGACCGATACGGTAGCAGTCCACAGCAGACTGGCACCCCGGCAACCATCACAATTTTGTCGGGGACATTGACGGCGGCGTGGACCGTACACGTGACCACGTCGACGTCGGCGGGAGACGGAGGCTGGTCGGCGGCATCCGTCTCGCGATCGTGGCCGGCGGTAGCGACAGCGCCCCTCGAATCGCGTACGCGTCTAACCGAACTCGACCTCCCCGCACAGGGACGTAGAGGCGGCAGCAGCGGCGGCGGCGGCGGCGGCGGCGGCGGCGGCGGCGGTACGTGAAACGGAACGGCTGGACGTAATACGGCTGGAGACGGGCGCCCGTCTCGCGCAGAGAGCAGAGGATATTTTTTGTCGGACGAGTAGGGAGGAGGAGGAGCAGCAGCAGCAGCAGACGCAAGGAGGCGAGGCCGTCCATGCGACGGTGGCGCGGCCCTTTCTTTTTGCCTGCTGCCGCGAAACGAGCGCAAGCTTTCCCACCAACCCTGTTTCGCCGACGAATAACGTGCTACTACCCGCGACCGACCAGTCGTGACGGCGGTCTCTTGACGGCGATACACGCCGCTCGTTCGCTACGAGTCGCGACCGGCGAGTCGTCTCCCAGAGATAAGGCGGGGAGAGAGCGAACTCGACGGCGTTTCGGAAAAGAAAGGACACGACGACGACGACATGCGCCGAGTCATCGATAAGGATCCTTCCGCAGGTTCACCTACGGAAACCTTGTTACGACTTTTACTTCCTCTAAACGATCGGGTTCGGTCGTCTTCTCCAGGCATCGAACGCCGAGGCGAGTACGACACGCGCGTGAAACGGCGGCGGAGACCGCAGCCGCTGCGCCACGTGCACGCTGCCCGGCGGCGTCGTGGGCCAGATCCGAGGACCTCACCGGACCGTTCGATCGATAGTAGCGACGGGCGGTGTGTACAAAGGGCAGGGACGTGATCGACGCGGGCTGTTGACCCGCGCCTACATGGAATTCCTCGTTCACGGGGTTGGTTACAGGCCCCGATCCCTATCACGGGAGGTGGTTAAGAGGTTTCCCGACCCTCTCGGTTTGTAATATAACTTAACTAAAAAGGGAACACAAGGTTTACAGCGTAAATGACCTGTTCTCTTAGTTTAAGGAGCGGAGGAGGAGGTAACTCCGACAATTTCATCACAAATATTTTATTAAATAAATATTTAATAAAATATTTGTGATGAAAATTCTTCTTTGCTATTAATTCAATTTTGAATAGCGACAAGTATGCTTTTCAGAATTGTCTTTATTCGTTTTATTTGAAAATAGTATTAACAAATTCTAAAAAATGATTGTTAATCAAATATTAATTAGCTGCAAAGTTGTTTATTCGGAGTTACTTTCTTGTTTTCTATGTTGATACGAATGTGAGTGTGATAGCAATGTTAAAAAGAAAATCTAGATTTTATTGTTTACTAAGGCTTATTTTAATCTAGGTATCTCCACTAATTCGTGATACATAATGTTTAAAACGAATTTTTAATAATGAAAAAGGCTTTATTAAAGCTTTCATTTTAACTTTAATTGAAAACTAAAGGATTAAAATTTACTATTTCCAGTAAGCAAAATACTCTGTGGGGTATTACAAAGAGAAATTATATTAATTGGAATCGATTATTTTTCATTAAAATTGATAAAATCGGATATTTTGACATATTTGTAAGTTAATTCTCAGATTTAAAAATCTTGCAAAAATAAAATATATATTTCTGAAACGTCATTTGAGGAAAATTAGCAAATTTAGACTTAAATTAATCTGATTTGAAACAAATATTATTTACTTGTAGCATAAAATGTTGTATACAAACATTTCTTAACCGCGGCGTCTTGTTTTTCTGATGTGTTGATCGATTTATTGACAAAGTACGATGGAGCAGAATTGCTAGCAGCCGATAAAGGTTATATGAGGGATTTTTTTTCGTTCGGTGTACTACTCTTAAAACACGTGACATTTTAATGATAATGTCATGTATGAAGTAGCATATTTAGAAAAATTAGAATGTTTATACACAAAAACTCGAAATTCTTTTTAAAAATATTCGGGGGTATCAAATTGTAATAAGCTTTACAATAAATGATTAGTAAAAATAGTCTTATTTAATAACAATATGTCCTAAGAGTTACACTATTGAAACTGAATGCTTAAAGATTTAAAAACTTTATAAATTATTCAATTTAAAATTGTAAAATATGAAAACAAATCTTTTAATAATTCACTTCTCATCGAAAAACATTTTTTTCAGACAATGATGGAGAAAGCATTAACTCGAACCATCGCCAGTGAGACAATATTATTCACAAAAACAATTAAAAGCTTCTCTAATTAATTGCTGTCATACTTTTATCGCGTTTTATTTTTCGATTCTGAATAGATTTTCGGTAAGACGGCGTTCGATTTTGCAAAGAAAATTTGGTGATTTAAATTCTTCAAAGAATTCTGCTTTTAACTAATATAGTCACTAAAAATTATCACGTTCACTTTCTCAAGTTTTAACGAGGTGACACACATGTAAATAAAAATACTTTTACCATGATTTTCTAATAAAAAAATTTAAAGAATAATTCCATTTATTTGTGAATATGTCTTGAAAATTTCATTAAAATCCGACAATTATTTGATTTTTACAAGAATTTCGAAATTAATGTGTCTGTTACCGCAAAAAGAGACTAAAATTTGCTGTGCTAAAACTTAGTACAACCGGTGACGTTAGAAAAACAAGATTTAATAACAAAACAAAATTTATTGAAACAAAGCAAGTTCAGTCGACCATTGATGACAATTCCAGAAACTATAAACAATTTTTTTTTTTGCTATCCTCTGCCAGCCGCAATGATGGAGAAAGCATTACCTCGAACCATCGCCAGTGAGACACGCTTCAAGGGTCACTCCGTTTCACGAGGCTCGTCCCTTAATCAAGATGCAATCGCGCCAATCCTCTGAAGGAACGCCATCGAACGAGGGCCAATAAACCCTGAAGTCTCCACTGCCACAAGAGTAAAAAAATCTATCTGCAAGAGAAGAATATTTAACTATTTTTTTCCATCTCTGCGTCCCGGGCGACGGACCCGGGCTCAATCGCGGACCTGATCAAATTACTGGCCGAAAATGTATCCGCACAGGTCGCATCCCAAATCAACAACTTCCCCATTTTAAAAGGGACAATGGTAATGCCATCCGGTCGCTTTCCATCACCACAGTGGAGGCCTACGGGTTCGATTTAGGAAGGGAACCTAACTGCATCTAAACCTCTTTTGATGATGTCATTTATTTATTTATTTATTTAATATCCCGGATAGCACTCTCGAAATCATCTGCATTATAATTTAAGTTTATCTCTGACTTGGACGAGTTAATCTCAAGTCCAAGCAGAGATAAAACAGTAATAACTCGTCGGGGGTCAGCAGATACGGCCTCGATGGATCCTCCCAACGTTGCATCGTCAAGATACCATATATTTAAAGGAGAAGCGATGAAACGAGCTACCCCGTCAATAGCCATCGCAAATAGTAGCGGACCAAGTGGATCACCTTGCTGGATTCCAGTAGCATATTATTATCGGAGGCGATCAACATACTTGGATAACTATACGAAAGATGAGCCAGTTTAAATATGGAAGGAGTCTGTTGATGGCAAACTTCCAGGGCATGATCCCTTCTGATGCTATTGAAAGCGTTTTTCATCTCTAATTTTAATAAGATACTGAGGGAAACAGGTGATATATTCTCGAAAAATGATCTTGTGGCATGAACCGCGGCTTCACATCCGCCCTATATGCTTACCCCGAGTTGGACAGGTCGCAATTCATGCCCTATCTTCTTCACAAAATCTCTAAAGGCAATTTTCGCGGCGCGGCGCGGCAAGACGACGAAAAATGTTACCAACAGCGATAGAGCGGATACCTCCGTCTTTTTCCTTTTTTTAAAGCCGTTAAGTTGGCTGAAAATATTAAGTTGCGATCATGTTGGGGTATCTCAGCTCGGAGAAGGGTATTAATAAGAGCTGTTATGGATGTTTTCAAATGTCCACCAGCTTCGGCAGTGTGGGCAGAAATTAAGTCCTTGATGTGACCAGGTCGAAGGCCGTCCACACCTCCACTGCTGCTTCCCGAGAAAGTCTTCAGAGCGGCAACCATTCCTTCCTTTGAGATTTCAATATTTGAATCATTGTTTTCCATCTGAACAAATCTGACATCTGATGGTGGCGCAGGATGTTTCCGACGGAGAGCTGTGAGAACTTCTGGTGTAGTAGCTAGTATAGTATTTTCAATCAAAATTCCAAATGTTCTAAAAAAAAGAGTAAAAAAATTAATTAAATATTCAAAATACTTTGATCCTTCCTCTTAATAATAACATAAAGATTTTGACGATAAAACTATGTTTTCATTACGTTTGGAGCATGTTTTCATCACGTTATACCGGTGTTTTAGCGATTTCGTGGGGGTACCTATTTTAACCAGTTACCTAGATGTTTTTCACAGTTGTATTCTCTTTACTATATGGGAGAAAATGATATATACATTTTTATATATCAGAACAATGTAAAATTAATCGCAAAGTGGAAGAACTTTTCGTGTGACGCGTTTCCTCCTTTAGGACTTCATCGGACTGAAGTGATATTTAGGTTGAAGTAAATATACATGCGCACGAAGGAGAGAGAACGCTGAAATTTCAAAACTTTAAAATGTTTCTTTTTTAATATGTGTTTAAATATATAGTATAGGCAATTTCATTTAATTTCTCTTTTTTGTTTATATTTTTATCACTTTTGTTATTAAGTATTCCACATTGTGATAATAGAAGCTTACTTTGTTATACATACACACACACACACACACACACATATATATATATATATATGTGTGTATATGTATGTACATATATATACAAAGAAATCCACTTATTGTGGCTACTTTAGTACAATGTCTTTTAGGCAAAAATAACCGGTTGAAAATGTTAAGCAAAGGATATAAAAATTGCAACAATTCATTGTTTTAAATTCGTTATAATAAACAACTTGAAATTATAAAAAATTAACTCGAAATTGCTGAAAAATATGTTAATAAATTCTTATTAGAATTTATTGAGACAGAATATTTTTAATACATTTCAAATATAGCCTTTCATGATGATTCATTTTTATGACGATAAGCGTTTGATAACCTTTGATAGCTTCCAGGAAGTAGAGTAGTTGACTCAAGTGAGTAGTTGGTCATGTACTTTGAGAAATAAAAGCGATTCTTGGAGAACGTAAACTAGTGTCTAAATTGTACGAATACATCATATACATCGAAATGCGGCGCACTTTGGGAGAGTTTTTTTTTGTTAAGCTCATTAGAGAGAAAAGAGACACGTGCGAGATGCGAACGAAAGACGTCACGCGAGAAAAGAAAATCGTAGTAACAAGCACAACTGAACAAATCACTAGATTATCATGCCAACAGATTGAAAAGTGGGAGAATGGCTGCGAACGGGGGATTAAAATTTCAGACTAGTGCATATTACTGTCAGAATTGAAAACAGGAAAACGATGGATGAAACATTTACGCAACCAACAGCTAAAATAAAATACGCTTTCTTAAAATATTGTTAACGATATTATTGGCCATTATTCCAAGACCTCAATCCATCTTTGATTTTTGTGTGACACGTGACTAGCTCGGGCTCGGGAATTATTTAGATCTTATCTAAAAACAACGTGCGAAAAGAAGACTTGTTACTGAATCTGTAACCGGGACAACTGACAAACATGCCCAACCACAATGCTTAGATCTATGCTATAAGTGCTTGATTTGTTTTTTACAGCTCATCAAACTTTATTAGGTTATTTAAAGCCAGAAAATAGTTTTTGATTGTAATAATTTTTTTACGGTAATAATGATTCATTAATATAAGCCCTACTAATTAGCTGGGGCGATGAAGAAGAGCTGGATTCATATATTTTCCTAAGGGTTATTTGCACGTAAGTGAATATAACGAAGCCGACTAGAATTGGAACTCGACTCTCCAATTTTCAATTCCAAGCAGTTATAACATTACACAACTCGCACATATAAGCTTACAGCACCTGACCAGAAGTGAAAAGTAAGAAGAAAATACCAATGCAGCAATGAGACACGCAAATCAAAGCATGACCCAGCTAAAGTGCTACATTTGGTATTGCTACCAACACTCCATGACCCTGAGATTATCATGCAAAATGTGATCCAATGTGTTTCAATAGTAAATAGTTTGTCTCATAGTGTATTGTTAGTGTGTTTGATTTTCATCATATTCTGGTTTGTGCCAGACTAGACTAATATTAGTATGAATTCAATATAAATATTATTATCAAGCCGATCTCACAATCTATTGCTAGTCTTGACTCCACTAGACACTTCCCTGTTGTGTTCTTATGCAATGCAAGATAAATTAGGCCACTAATGTAAATTGATGATTATTAAAAATGATGAAAACTTAATAAATATTTACACTAACTGAAATAGTAAGTTGTCTGTCAATAAAATTTGAATTAAATTTAAAAAATTATAATGAGAAAAATTCAAATAGTTTTCACTCGTGAATTTTACAAAAAATTATTAAAACACTTCAACTTCGTATGGTACCTGTAACCAGTGTTGCGGGGACGATAAGGATGTCGCCCCCGCAAGCTTTACGAAGAAAGGTGTGAACAGCTAAGACAATGAGGGGACAAAGGCAAAGGTTTAAGAAACAATAACGTCGATTTTATTTATCCAAAATGTACAAGAGTGTACTCTGGAGAAATATGTTTGTATCGGTGTCAGGTCCGATATGACTGGTTTTGTTTAGGGGAAGTTGATTTTGGTCGTATCGGCGAAACGAATGTAAAGTTGAAAATCGGTGGTAGCTGGTCGACTGCCAGACGAGAGAATGATCAGGAACAGCAGCAGGTTGATCGATGTCGCACGAGATTCGTTGTATCGGTTAGGAGAAGTCCCTAAACAGGGCCGAGTGAGTATAGTGATACGACTTCTCAGGGCGGATCGACCGCGGAGACGGGATCGCGCCGAAGAGTATTCTCTCGACAAAGCACCGGAAGCTCACAAAGGCAGCGTACTACACTTTGATCCAGGCCCCCAGGCCTAGCAGCTAGGATTTGGACGAAAAAGTGGCTGACAATAGCGATGTATTCAAGTAGAAAACCGTAGATATTAAATTAATCTCAATGTTGTTCGATGTTTGAAAAAGCGCTGTCTAATCAAGAGGTACGGTTTGGACTCAACCATATTTTGGACTAGTCGTCCAGTTTCTCGCATGTTACTTGACTTAAATCTGCGAGATCAGGGGTTGTGAAGGTCAAGGTCGTCTTTCTAAGGAGCGGCTAATGGCGGCCGTGACAACGCCCTTCCCCTAGAGAATTGATCATATCAATTAATAATAATATTTATGGTCTTTAGGGAATGTGACCCTCCTACCGGATCTGGTCTGCTGCACAGGAGTCGCTGGGGTGTCGTCTGATCTCTGCGGTGCTGCGTGTGCCGGGTGCGCTGGAGTAGCGTTAGGGGTCCGCGGAGCCGGGTTTGCGTCGTATTGTCGCTTCTCCAGAAAGGCAGGCTTGGTCCGATCGATCGCGACGGTGTCGGTCGAGTTGGCGCGCTTGATCGTAAGGTGCTTGTCGGTGCACCGAAGAACCTGAAACGGACCTTGGTATGCCGGGGTGAGTGGTCGTCTCACGGCGTCGTTCCGTACGAAGACGAATTCGCAATCCCGCAAGTGTTGAGGGATGTACGAATCCGTCGGTCGCTGTCGCGGAGTTGCATATTTAAACCGAGCCATTTTGTGGCGGAGTTCCTCGACGAAAGAAGTTGTTGGTTTTGAAAGCGTCTAAAGGGAGTCGTTGAAATATTCACCAGGCAGCGCAAGAGGTGTACCGAAAACCAGTTCGGCAGGTGAACAACCTCCTTTACGGTATTCCTCAATGCTAGGAGAATCAAAGGTAGGTCGTCCACCCAATTGATAGTGTCAGGTCAAGTAGCCAGGGAGGTTTTAAGGGACCAATGAAACCTCTCGACTAAGCCGTTGGCGCACGGATGATAAGCGGTAGTTTTTATGTGCTTGGCACCAAGTAGGTTGGTAAACTCCCGAAAAAGGGACGACTGGAACTGTGACCCTCTGTCGGTCATCACGACTTGGGGCGTGCCGAAAGTTCTCTCAGGATAGTCTTGGAGACGGTGCTTGCAGAAGTGTCTTTTATAGGTATGGCAGTCGGCCACCGCGAAAAACGATCCACAACCGTCAGAAGATACTGGTAATCCCGACACATGGGCAGCGGTCCCACTAAGTCGACGTGTATGTGTGAGAACCGTGTATCGGGACTGCTGAAGGTGCTGACGGGGGATTTAGTGTGTCGGTGGACCTTACACTTCTGGCACTCCATGCACGTGGAAACCCATTCTCGGCCAAATAAATCGGTCAGTAATAAGTTTGACTGTAGCTCTCTTATTCGGATGAGACAGCCCGTGGAAATGTTGAAAGACCTGTCTTCGAAGTGTCGGTGGGATGTAGGGCTTACTAGGCTGGTGTCACAGTACAGGGTGTCGTCGCTGAAGGATGCAGGGAACTCCTGAAGCTTTAAGGAAGTATTTGAAAGTACGTCTTGCAGCGTGGGGTCGGATTTTTGTTCAGCGGCTATGGAATCTTGACCCAAGACGTCGGTCTGAAGAGATTGAATTTCCGCTCGAGATAATGTGTCCGCGACGGCGTTGTCCTTCCCCTTTATGTGACGAATATCGGTCGAGAACTGTGACAGGTAGTCGAGATGCCGGATCTCGCGAGCTGTGTGTTTGTCAGAGTTGTTACTCATCGCAGTCGTCAACGGTTTATGGTCGGTATAGATAGTAAAATCTCGACCTTCCAGTAAGTGCCTGAAATGCCTGACGGTCAGGTAAATGGCCAGCAGCTCCCGGGAGAAGGTGCTGTATTTTCTCTGGGCTGGCGATAGCTTGGCCGAAAAGAATGCGATGGGTTCGCGTTGTGAATTGAATTCCTGCTCAACTACCGCGCCAACTCCTGCGTCCGACGCGTCGGTTGTCAGGAACAGTCGCGTCTTTGGGTCGTCGTTAATATGCGAGAGCCTAGTGTAATTTGCCAATGCGGACTTCGCTGTATGGAATTCGTGCAGAACATCTCCCTCCAACGTGATGCCCTTATTCCTTCTCTGCAGCAGGTTCGTTAGTGGCTGGAGGATAGTAGCGCAATTCGGGATGAACCGACGATAAAAGTTGATCATACCGAGGAAACGTAGCAATTGTTTGATGGACGTCGGTGTAGGAAAATCCTGGATCGAGCTGATCTTGTCTGGCAGAGGTGCTATGCCGTTTGCGTCGGTGTGGTGCCCGAGAAAATCGACACTGGGCGCCCCGAAAACGCACTTGTCCAGGTTCAACTTCAGGCTGTAGTGCGAGAGTCGCTGGAAGACTTCTCGCAGGTGTTGCCTGGATATTTATTGTATCGAAAAATACAATTGTGGCACAAGGCCTGAAAAGGGGAGGGGTTGATGCTGGTCTTCACTAACTATCTTATACCTCGCTAATCCGATTCACGACCCATTCACTCATTACAATTTGCCCATTCACCACAAGAACTCATCCATCACCAATCAATCCTCCTTACACCATAATACCACATCCTCACAAGGGGGGACCTACAAAACGCGCCCCATGCCATAAAAATTTAATGATAATAAATAATACATAAAAATCTCATAATGAAGGATGAGAGGGGAGGGAGATGAACCCAATAATAAACTAAAATATTAACATAAATCAAATTAAACATAACAGATGTTAGTAGGGCCCGTCCAACCCTCAAAAACAAAGAGGCCGCTGTATTCTGCCCATAAGACAAAATCAAGAAGCTCTCTCGCTAAGGGAGTGGGAATAGGATAAAAAATCGTAATAGGGGAATATAACGCTGACCCAGACGAGATAAAGGGGGGGCAAAAACAAACTGGGGCGGTTGGGAATCTCAAACTGGATCATAACCAAAGAAGTGGCCAGGAACAACACTTATTCACATTAACTAGGTACACTAAGGCTTGTCTAACCTAATCAAGGGGAGGGCTCCTCAGGAAACCACCCCGATGTGACATTGATTGACCTAAAAGAGAAAATCAAGGCTAGCCCCGTTCAAATGAACCAAGCTCGCCTCAGTCACCCACCTTTCGCTGAAGACTGTCGAATGCAATCGTTTTCTATCAGTTCTAATCTTCATCTTGAGCTGATGCTCAAAGAATCGGATTAGATCCTGATAAGAAAGACGGTTGCCTCGTAAGACTTCCTCCTCTCGCGTCGTCCAAATCACCATTCACCATTCGATCATGCCGGAATACGGGAGCGACACATTGTAACACGCGTATGCGCGATCAATGGGCACAAGCTTTTCGAGAGCGAAGCCGTTTCTTCTAAACCAAGGTCACACCGTTCACAGTCTGGCAAATCCGCCAAACCCCATATGAAGACCTTGTCATTGAGAGGCAGCCGATTCCGAGCCAATCGCCAGGTAAGCGAAAACTCAGGGTTACTGAGATAATCCGTCGCTGGCGCCCAAGACCATTAAGAGCGAAACTCCTCCTCCGACAACTCGAGATCCTCACGTAGGGAATCCTTCGCGACCCCCTCCACTAACAAACGATAGAAAACCTTCCTAGGCCGAGAAAGGTCACTGGACCGAGGGACAGCCCGCAAAGCCGACCGACACTCGTAAAGGAAAACCGATTGCTTCCGGGGTTTACGATGGCGCTCAACCCGCGAGATGGGAGGACTGATAGTAAGGCGAGGGAACGCGGCCCTCACAACCCCTCGATAATCGGATCTCCATCTGTCAACGCGCGGCGTAGGAAAACCAACCTAGAGGCACGCCAATGGTTTACCAAGTGTGGCATTCCCAGCTCCCCATGACACGGACGTTGTACACAGACTCGTCTGTCGACCCGATTCCCGCGTCCCCTCCACAAAGTGGAGGCTAGCGAGGCCTTTACAGAGAGGAAGTACGGACAATCGATAAAGGACAAGAGGGAAAATGTATGTAGCACACATCTCCGCCCTGCCCTTCACGGACAACCTCCGTCGATGCCAAGTCCAACCGACAGCATCGACCTTTGCTCGTACTTCAGACCAATTTTTCTCCAGCTGGACGTCGGGCCCAAACCACACTCCAAGAATGCGGACAGGACCGTCCGTCCAACAGAAGCGTCCCGGAATATCGACCCCCTTCCAGGCACCTAACCGCAAGCCGGACGACTTGATTCGTTAAAGCAAAAATGTGATTTTGATAAAAATGTCTGTGTTTGCTGTTTTTTATTTTAACAGAGTAGCAGAGTAATGTCTGTTTCTTTTGTTTTTGTATAGTTGCAAATGAAAAAGGGGCGAGCAATTTAAGTTGAAAAAGAGAGTGTGAATGAGGAATAAAGATAAAAAGGAAAATATACTTATGAATTGTTTTGGAGTCAGTTGTAAATTTGTTGTTGTTGTTGTTCTTTCCTACTCCACTTTCGGCTCTTAGTGTCGGGTTGAGTCAGCGATGGAATTTACTGTCAATCTTCTGTGATATTTGCGCCTTTCTCTGACTGACTGGCGACTGACTTGAAAACTACGTATTTATTGTTGACTTTTTTTTACACTGGCTCGTTATCTTTTTTTTTTTTTTGGTTTAGCAAATCGCCTCCTTTCATTGGTCAGAAAATTAATTTCACACCTTATTGTGAAATCTTTTTTTGGTCATTTTGATCCGATTTTGCGGGTGTGCAAATCTACTTTGTGTTTTTTTAGTCATTTGTTGGAATATAGGATTTGTATCCTATACACTAATGAGAAAGAGATTATGTTAATAATAACTGCTCTTCTGACTTAGAACTGCAGCTATGCTTGAAATCGAAGTATGTTACATTAGAGTTTTTGAATTTAAAATTTAAATTGTATTCATTTAGAACAAAGAAATAAGCAATTTTTTATCTATCATTCTACATCAGAGAAACATGTTATATCAAATAGCTTTTAGATAGAGCTCCATTGACTTATCTCCATATTTCCAACCACCAGCCTCCTTGCTCCAATATTTTATGGATCTTGTTTCTTAACCACCCACTTCAAATTTCATTAAATTATCTGAGTTTTCTTTGTTTGGACTTGAATTTTCGTTTTATTTGTTGCCTTATATCACATTTTATAATAGATACAACATTCTTTGCATGTTTTTTATATTAAATTGTGTGAACTAGAACAAAAGTTTTGGAAAAAAAACCTTGGTATTTTATACAGAAATGCCTATAGTATATATTTTCCGACTATTAAATTAAACTGAAATGCTAGAATGTGTTGGGTGATGCAATAGAAAAGATGTAGATTTGATAATTTTTCATATAGGTGTGCGCGCGTACACATAGATAGATAGATAGATAGATAGATAGATAGATAGATAGATAGATAGATTGCGTTTCCTAGACTAGTATTGTAGCATTTTCCCTTCTCACCGAGTTTCCCAAACTTATAGTCTTGTATGTAGAGTATGCTAAGCTTTGGTATATTTATGCACATGTAATCAATATTGGGCCTATATTAAACTCTATACACAGGACTTTAGTTTTACACTTATTTTCTCCTGTAATGTTTTTATTTTTAACTTTTTTAAAACACTAAAATTATTGATTCATCCTAACAAAAATGCATTTCTCTGATTCCCCGGACAAATTTTCTTTCTTTCTTTCTTTCTTTCTTTTTTTCTTTCTTTCTATAAACTTGCTATTTTTTCTTTCTGATTTAATTTATTTTTCCTCCGTA